ACCAGGACCGGTAGGCTCGCCCCGCACCTGTGGGCGATGCCCAGGCTGCACACCAGTCCCGCCTGGTCCATGCCTGCCCGCCTGCGGCCCTCCGTCCCCGCGGGACTTGGCGGAGATGCCAATGCGGGACCCCCGCAGGGCTGAGGAATCGGTTTCTCAGGACTTGACTGTGCTGCTCAGACAAGTGGGAGAAGCTCTATCCCACCCAGGAGCATGGGAGCTGCGAGGAGGCACCAGAGCGGACAGGAGACTTCCTGCCCGCACACAAGCTCTCTCACGCCCGAAGGGCCACCAAAGCCAGGCCGTGTGTCCGCCCTGTTACCTCCCCACGCTACTACTGAACCCCTCATCCCAAGGCTGGGGGGCCCCACTGACCCTGAGGACACAGCTTCTCTGCCCTCCTGCCATGAAAAAGCGTATTCCCCTATGGCCGTGGTTCTCACCCTTCCTAACGCAGCGACCCTTTCATACAGTTCCTCATGTTGTGGTGACCCCCACTTTCATCGTGACAAATTGAACATAAAGCATAGTGATTAATCACAAAAACAATCTGTAATTACATATGTGTTTTCTGATGGTCTCAGGCGACCTCTGTGAAAGGGTCGTTCAACCCCCAAAGGGGTCTCGACCCACAGGTTGAGAACCGCTGTCCTGTGGGCTGCCCAGTGCCCACCACGTTCTTTTGGGTCCACTGGACTCAGGGGAGAAGGGGGAACTGGGGAGCAGGGACACACAGGTGTCACTTGCCTTCCCCCACCCGCCTGCAGCCAGCAGCAGTCGCTCAGGAATGACGCTGCCTCCCGCAGCAGAGTCCTCAGGGAGGGGCTCCACCGCCCTGGGCGGGCTTCAGCCTGAGGCGCCCTTCTCAGCTTCCGGACGTGGCGGTAAATCACCTTTCAGAGGAAAGTAAACCTCCTTATTCTCGTTACTTCTGCAGCAACAGAACTCCCTAATTCTGAACTAACAGAATAAAACGGGAACAACAAAACAGGTAACCTAGAAACATGAATCGAAAACTCAGTCCAGCCCGAGGTGGTTTGGCTCAGTGGAAAGAGCGTCAGCCTGGGGACTGAAGGGCCCCGGGTTCGATTCCGGTCAAGGGCATGTACTTCGGTCGCCTGCTCAATCCCCTGCCCAGGTGGGGGCCTGTGCGAAGGCAGCCAATCCATGTGTCTCTCTCGCATTGATGTTTCTCTCCGTCTCTCTCTCCCTTCCCCCCTCTCTAAAAATCAATGGAAAAATATCCTCAGGTGAAGATTAACAAAGAAACAGAAAAGGAAATTCACTCCAAACGTTCAGCTTGCATTTGGCTTTGGCACAAGTTACGTCATGCCTGGGTAGGAAACATGTTTGTAGCTGTGGTTCAGACCAGACCAGACCAGACCTGTCTCCAGCTCCAGCATCTGAGTGGCCCCGCAGCATACACACGTCCTCAGCGAAAGGTCACAACGCTGCTGCACTACAAGGGTCCACAAACCTGTTCTGTAAAAGGCCGGACAGTAAACATCTTAACCCACTGGTCCTCACCAGGGACAGGAGACGTGGCACTGTCTGGACCCTCTTTTGGTTGTCACAGATGAGAGATGCCACTGGCATCCAGAGAGTAAAGGCCGGGATGCTGCTAGATAGTCTACAATGCTCAGCAGAGCCCTCCTGGAACAAAGAATGATCTTGCCCACAGGACCAGCAGCGCCGAAACGGAGACCCTGTACACGGCAGGCACATTTGCTTTCTGTCAAACGTTCTTCTGCTTTCGCACCCCTTTAAGGATTAGGACAAAGACAGGCCTCAGGCCGTAACCTGCTGACCCCTGCTCTACAGTGTCAGCCAGGTCCACAAAGACCACACGTTGGCAGGATGCCAAGGCTCTGATGTCACAAACTCCTCACTAGGATCTCAACACGGGCCTACCCCATGTCTTCATGCGGCTCCCAAGGCAGGAAGTAGGAATTCTCTGAGGGAAACCTCCATCCC